AATATTGGGAGAATAGGAGAAGTAGCACTTGTGGAAGAGATAAGTTCAGTTGTAAACACGTTGAGCTTGAGCTCAAACTCAGAATTAAATGCATGGATGTGAAGAGGCTATTCGGGTAACTGAAAATATAGCTGGATCATGACCAGAATGCAACACTCCTCTCTAGTTCTGCAAAGAATGTGGACGGCAGTCTTACCTTTTGATTCCGACAAGGCTGTTTCACACATGGCTTATTCACAAAGGTTCATCATATATTAAAATTTCACTCTTCAATGACAACACCCACTTTTATTTCTTGTTTAATACCTAATTCAAAATAAGAGTTTTGACTAAAGTAAGAGTAAAGTCCCTTGTAATGAATGTTGTGAGCTGTATGCTTGGGTAAAACCTATGCCATTAACAAAATTCAAAATTATTTTTAAAAGATGAAAACATATGTTTCTGCTTTTCCCTATGTAAAAGACCCTTCACCAGTTTTTTGGGGAATTAACTGTGTAGTCTTAAAGTGAGAATTAAGACTTGGGCAGCCCAGCACATGAGTGAGGTGAGTCAGATGGTTCTCATGGCATTTCGTATGCATGACTGACGCAAGCACTGGAGGACTGGCAGCAGTGGTGGTGGCACCTGAGCAGGCCATCCAGTGAGGAGGCAGTAACTCCAGTGCTACTTCATGCTTTTTGGCCCTGGTGGCCTTTTGGTTCCTGCCTATTTCCAAGCCATTCATGCTTCAGTCTCCTCTAAGTTCTGTGACCCTGAAACCTTCTCAAGTAAGTCCCTGTACTTCAATTAACCAATTAGTTTCTGCCACGCTTGATAAGAAACCTAGCTGAACATCAGAATAAATTCTTTCAATCAATAAGAAAATACTCTTTATTTCCTAAGTAAATCTACAGTTAAAGTAATGATTGCTGCTAAACCCATGGAATGTAACTCAGAATCGGAATAAGATCACAACAGTGAGTTTTTTTAAAAAGATAATTTTATTAGCTTATCTTTAATTCACAGCAAGACACATTGCTTCCTGTCTGGTTTATACTCTTTACAGTGAGTCAGGCATAGGTAGGATGTTTCTAGTAAAACGTGTTAAGCTGATTGAAGAGTAATTTTAGTAGCGTTTTTTAAATTTTGTTTTAAATTATAAAAGATTTATTTTTCTTCAGGTGAGTGTCTGAATAGGAAAGGGATAAAACTCTTATAAATTCAGTGAACATTTATTGAGTGGTTATTGCATCTGAAGTAATGTGCTAGGTGTTGAAAAGGTGTTCTCATTCATCATTTTACATTTTAAAGTGTTTAGCATATTGATGCTTGTATATTACATTTCTGTCTTCATGGAACTTATATTTTCGTGGGGAAGATGGGAAAAAAGATAAAAATTATAACAGTAAGTTGTAGTCCACACTATGAAGGACACAGGCTGAGACAGTGACTAACAGTGGGACCTATCCTGGATACAGTGGTCAGGAAAGGCCTCCCCAGGTACAGGACTAATACGCTGAGACTTGGAGGATGAGAAGAGGCTTACAAGTTGTGAGACCTTGGACAACTTATTTAACCTCCCTGTGCCTTTGTTTCCTCATCTGTGAAATGTGGAGTGCAGTATTACCTATTCCATACCACTGTTCTAAAGATAAAATGTGTTAATGTTTGTAGGGTACTTCCAACAGTACATGGCACATAGCATGAGCAAAACAAATACTAGTTATTATTATAATATTATTTTTATTATTCACAAACAGGGACCAGCATGTGCAAAAGCCTGAAGCAGGAAAGATCTTTGGTATGTTAATTAAACTGAAATAAGATTAACACAGCTGGAGCAGAAGAGCAAAGAGGCAGTGGCACAGAGGAGGCGAGAAACACAGGATCAGAACATGCCCGGCCTTGTGGCTCAGAGTAAAGAGCCGAGACTTTTTACGAAGTTAAATGGGAACCCATTAAAGAATTTCAGCAGGAGAGGAATGTTATTGCACTTATGTCTAAAGATAATCACTTCATCTGCTAGGGAAATTGAGGGAGCAGGAACAGAAATGGAGCGATCAGTTAGAACACTTAGAATGGTGTTATATAGTAGTGAGGATGAAAGATGATGGTGGCCTGAACTAAGTTGGGAGCAAAGAAGAAAAGAGAGTGGTTTCAAGATATATTTTGGAGATAAGCCTGGCAGTATCTGTGATTTAACTGCATTTAGGGAAAAGAGGAAGATCAAGGCAGAGCATCCATATACAGTAGTGCAGCATGTTCACTGCATAAGAGCACTTAACTGAGAAAGGCAAATAGGAGCTGCAATCCAGCTCACACTTGGTTCTCCAAGTCATGTCCCCTGGCATGGGGCTACCCCTAATTACAAGGAGTACATTTTTATAGTTTGTACAAAGGCAGTACATAGGCTAGAAGCAGTCTGACCCTTTAATTCCGGCTTAAGTAACTGGGTAAATAGTGTTGCCACTAACAGAGACATTGGGATAAAGGGGAGAGAGGTTTGTGATGAAAAAAAAAAAAAACACAAATGTTTGGGTCCTTGTTAAGTTTGAGATGACTCTGAGATACCTAAGTACAGATTTAAGATTGGCAGTTGTTTGCTTAATACTGACCTTCTAGTCACCGGTCTTGCTATTTCCAATAATTTATCTGTAGATGCTTTTGAATTTTCATTCAATACAATCATATTCACCAATAATGACAATTTTATTTATTCTTGTCCAATCTGTGTATTTTTTCACCCTATTGCACTTGCTGAGGCCTCTAGAACAAGGCTGAACATAAGTGTGATAGCCATTATCTTTGCCTTCCTCTAGATATTGATAAAGCTTTTGGCATATCTCCATTAGATATTATATTTGCTAATTGTTTCTTTGTAGAGACCCTTATTAGATTAATGAAGTTCCTTTATATTCCTAGTTATGATTTTTCCGTTTATCAAAAAAATGATGTTATATTTTATCAAATGCTTTTTCTGCATCATTGAGATAATAACATGTTTCACTCATAATTTTCTCTTCTCATAGTATCCTTGAATTTTGGTGACAAGGCTATGCCGGTCTTCTGAAACAGAAAGAAAGTTGCTTACTTTGTATTTTATGGAAGAATTTGTGCTAGAACAAATCCTAATCTATCAGAATAGATTTTAATAGAAGAGTCATCTTTTCTTCAAATTTTTGATACAATTCACTGATAAAGTTATCTGGATCTGGACTTTTCTTTGTGGAAAGGATTTTGAACATGAATTCACTTTCCGTAATAGTTATTAGAATGGTTACTATTCAGGTTTTGTCTTTTTCTTTGCCTTTATTATGTTTTCCTAGGAACTTGTCCATTTGAAATTTCATCTAAGTTTTCCAATTTATTGACAAAGTTGTTTATGATAATATAATGAAAGTATTCTCTCATCTTTTTCAAGTGTGCTTCTGTTCTTTGTATTTTTCTCTCTTTTTTTTTCCCTTGGTCAATCTAGTCAGGGGCTTAACAATTTTGCCGATTAGTCCAAAGAACTGACTTTGGCAAGTAACTGCTAATGGCATGGGGCTTGTTTCTGGACTGATAAAAATATTCTGAAACTAAATAGTGATGATGGTTGTATAACTCTGTGAATATACTAAAAACCACTGAATTATACATGTTAAAAGGATGAATTTTATGTATGTGACTAAAACTGTTATTAAATATGTATCTATCAACAATGTAACACTGTAACCTACATATGTAGTCGTAAAGTTTATAATATTTGCCTACATCAAGTCTTCCAGCAACATTGCTTGCCTTTACTTTGGTATATCATAATATTCTTTATATCACATAGTTCAAACAAATTAACCACATCAGTAATACTGCTGAGCAGGCTACGATAATTAATATGTGACTTATTTAAAACCTTTAAATTTTGAATAATAACTGTTAATAGTCTCCAGAGAATACTGCTACATGTTCTATCCACAGACAGCAAACTGATCTAAGGAAAGTAGGTCACAGAACACAATCCGATTCAAACTTGGCACTAGATAACCCAATGTTTCTTTCTTCACATAATCATGATGTCCTAATCAGTCTGTGGTTCTGACCTTTGAGTCAGTGGGTAGTCTATTATTACTTAGTGGCTGCTAAATCCAGAGTCAACATTTTAGAAGCTAAAGAATGCCCATCTTCTTTCAAAATCTTTTGGCTTACTAAAAGCTGAGCCCAGCTAAAAGCTCTTGCCAACATTTAGTTACTTCATGCATATGAATTAAACAACAAGCAGGATACAATTAGCGGAGAATGAAAAAAATAGAATATATTTAGTTTCTAACATATTAAACATTAAAATACATTAAATGTACTAAATATATTTAAAGGTAAATTAGACCGTGAAGCATGTTACGGTCTTTAGAAAGTATAGATCAGATTTTCCTGTTTCTCAAAACATGCTATTCTTTCATTTTTTTCTGTAGATACTAAACCAAAAATTTTTAACTCAAACTAGAAAATAGCAAATTAAAAAAATTCAAGTGACACAATATGTGTTCTATTTACAGAATATCAATAGACATGTTCCTAAAAAATTAGCTATGATTTTAATCTAATAACTTTTGAAAAGCGTGTTCTTTGCTTGTAAAAATAATGTTAAGCATAGTTTTCTCTATATAGAGAGCAATTATTCTTTTATACTACCAATATATAAAATGTCCAATGTATTATTTAATAGATTATCAGTTTTTCTAGGATTTTCTCACCTTTCTATCACAAAGTTTCTTTCACGACAAAATCTAGAAATAAAACAAATACCAGAAACAAACATAAAAAACTCTAGAAATGTACCAAGAGACACACTAGAGGAACATATAGGAAACTTTGTTAAGGTCGGGCACCGTGGCTCATGCCTGTAACCCCAGCATTTTGGGAGGTCAAGGCAGGCAGATCACCTGAGATCTTGAGTTGAAACCAGCCTGGCCAACATGGTGAAACCCTGTCTCTACTAAAAACTCAAAAAATAAAAATAAATTAGCCAGTGTGGTGGCACTCACCTGTAATCCTACCTACTCCAGAGGCTGAGGCACAAGAGTTGTTTGAATCCGGGAGGCGAAGATTGCGGTGGACCAAGATCATGCCACTGCACTCCAGCTTGGGTGACAGAGTGAGACTCTGTCAAAAACAACAACAACAACAACAGACACCTTTTTTAAGAAAGGTGATTTCAGGTCTTGAGAATTCATTTAATGCTAAACTAGTGTAATTGCATCTTTATTGAAGAATAGATAGCTTTCCTGTAATGATTCATTTGATATAGATATAAATGCCTCTTTGGAAAACTAGATACACACCTCTAAAATGGGCCCCTAAGACTACAGGGTTCTTAGGAATTTAACACTCTGTCCGTGAGAATGAAAAAAATTAAGCACAAATGACTTGATTTATAGATGCATATCCACAAATGGAAACCAAAATGGCAATTGCAATTTTAGATTCAGTAATCCAGCTGCTTTAAATGACCTTTCTGTAAGAGGTTAAAATACTGTGAGGAAATATGTGTGAGACGTAGCTTATTAAATACTAATTCTTGAACCTTACAGTATCTGTACCTTTATGCATTCAATGATACATAAAAAAACTTTAATACCAGAAGAAAATCCATGTGACATATAACAGACAAAGGATTTATATATCTGTTTTATAAATATTTACTATACATTAGTAAGGAATTATAAACAAATTCTATAGTTTCAATGGGTTTTGTATATAAATGGGCAATTTATCAAAGAAATACAAATACATAATAAATACATGAAATTGTGCTAAACTTCAATCAGCTAAGAAATACAAATTAAAATAAATATTTTTTATAACCAGATTAGAAAAATTAAAAATATTGAAAACAACTGTTGAATATACGCTGTGTCTGAGGAAACAAACTCTGTTATATTGGTGGTAGATATATAAATTCATACAAATTTTTATAGGATAATTTATTTTTCCTGTTCAAATCTGAAAAATATACATTCTGTGACCTACAAATCTCACTTCTAAGAATCTGTCCTGTAGGCATGGTTACAAGATAATGTAAAAGTAAAATAGGGGATGTTCATTACAGCATTATTAGTAACTGCAAAATATTAGGAGCAACTTAAACATCTGTTGATAAGTGATTGTGAAATGAATTAAGGTACAGACATAAACTGGAACACTATGGTAGCTATTAGATAGGGTTTCTGACATACTGGCAATGTTCTTCTTAAGCTGAGTAATGGATGTGTGAATTCACTATATGGCTACATATATAATTGTACATAAGATTTTACATGCTTCTCAATTTTCACAAAAAATTAGAAAAGAATAAGGTGAAGTCTATATATATTAATCAAATAAGATGCATGTGATATGAAAAAACACAATAGAAAATCATTATGCATGGCAAATCTCAATTTTATGAGCAAAAACATCCTGTGTATTCATATATATGAACACATAGCTGTGCTTACATGGCATATAAAAAACTAGGGGGAATATGTAGCAAACCTGGAAAATGGGATTATAAGGATGCTTATAAGAGGAATAGAGAGTAGTATTGGAGAGATTTATACTTTTTATAAAACATATTTTTAGTCATATATATGAGACTAAAGAAGATACATATATGTACATATATATATACATATATAACTTTTGTGTGTATATTTCAATTGACCAAAAAAAAGCCTGCCACTTAAGCAAGCAAAATAAATTTAAAGAGACTAAATTTTAACACTTATCTAGCAATAGGAACTCAGCTATGCAGTTAATTTAAAATAAGTAGGTATTTATTGAGCACATAATAATGAATAGCCTGATGTATTTAGTGAAGTAGAGTTTACAGGGAAGTTTAAGACACTGTGGTTATATCTTACCTATGTTTCTTGCATCACACTTAGAGAAATAAAACTATTTTATCAACAACAGTAAATCCATTTCTTATAGTATATTTTAGATAATAAATCTGAATACCACAAAAAATGACAATACATTGAAAAATTTCCCCAAATAATAATATAAGCAGAAACTTGTTCAGTGCTAATGAAGTTCCAGGACTGACTTTAAATGCATTATAGGTATTAATATATTATGACCAATTATTGTAATCATTCCTGTTTTACAGATGAAGAAAGTGAGACACAGCTTAAGTAACTTGACAAAGGTCACAGAGCTTGCAAGTGGTGGGGTCAAGATTCAAACTTTGGCACTCTGATTCTAATATTTCCACCATGCCTTATTGTTTCTCAAAGAACTCCAATTAAAATCTAATATTAATTATTAAATGATGTTATAACGTGAAAATATATTTTGTTTTTACCTTCAAAAGGCACATAAAACATTTTTGAAAAATATAGCACTGTAAAATGTAAAATGTGTTTATTGTAAAACCTTAGTTATTGCTTCCCTTTCCATAACACAACAATTTTTATGCTTTGATACTACAGTGGATTACATTGAATGTTATACCTGTCAAAACAAAGTTCTTTTTTTGATGGAAATAGTATGTAAGTTTGAGAAACTGATCATAATTAACTGTTTCTTGTTTACTTAAGTAGACTAATATGAACTGAGCCTACAGTAATGTTTATACATTCCAATGCAAAAGAACTGCAGAGCAAGCTAAGTCTTGAATCATTTGTTAAGACTTATTCTCCATTAGTAGATAAAACTTCAAGAGTAAATGAGACTATGCAATCTTTTTTTCCAGTAAATTACAATTCAGTTTAGAAGATGAAGGACTTTTTAAAAAAATTAAATATAGAGAATAATAACAACATTGTGTATAAGAAAGTATTAGAATAAATGTCATAAGTTATATGAAATATTTAAAGAACAGTTCAGAGATAGAAACTGTTGAGATATGAAATACTTACAGGAGTTTTATGCCTAATATAGAACTGAACTTGGACCTACAAGAGAGTGAAAGAATTGAGGAGTCATAAAAGAGAGTACTTTACTTTTTAAGAAAAAAAAGCATATAATTATACCTATATTTTACCTACACTCTTAGGACTGCTGAAAAATTACTATTATTATTGAAGTACATTTTGAAAAAATATCTTACACTATTCAGCAGGAAGTTCTTTTTAAGCTAATCATGTTATAAAGTTTGAAAAGGCTATATTTTTCTTTAATTCAAGCCAATTAAATAACAAGAATCCCTTTCTTTGCAATTCTTTTATGCACTATTTACCCAGCACTGTTTCTCTAAATTTAGTTATACTTACTTGTCCAAGAAAATGTATAGATCAGTTGATTTCTAGTTATTATACATGTGTTTTATGAATAAGAAGAGGTTATCAACTAATCAAAGTTAATCCAGTAACTTCTAGAACTTCTAACTTGCCTTTCAAAGCTTCACCATACTGAGAATAATATGGCAAGGGAATATGAAAGTAGAAACTCTAAGAATCAGGATCCTTAAATGAATATTGGGATGTAGAAAAGAGAAAGGAGACTACTGTGAGTTGCAAATCTTTATACCAGGAAAACTCATGTGAATAAAATGCTTTCTGCTGTCAACGGGAAAAAGGAAGTTGCATGAGAATTGATTATTAAGGAGAGTTTCAAGACAGAGGCAAATTTAATGATAGAATGGCTCAGAAACGGTTTAAGAATATTTTATTTTTAAAAAATTGTAAAGAAACTAATTTTATTATCCTTAATAAACTTCCTAGGCTTTATCTATGTCTACCCAGAAACTTTCTATAAATACTTAAATTCGTAGAGATTGTCAAAAGAACTCCCACTCTTCCCACTACCTAAGGGAGAAAGAGGAGGTGTATGTTGGTCATACTGAGGGGAGGAGAGGGCAGGATGGGTGGTAGGAAGGTATTAGTGCCAAGGGACTGAGAACTTGTCCCGAAATACATGTCTGGAAAAAAATCCAAACTTTCAGTCATCAATATTCAGTCCCTTCGCTGCACAAGCAAAAAGGAATAAAATACACAAGAAAAGCAGACAAATTAAAAGAGAATCTATCCGAGACCCACCAAAAATGGTTTCTTTTTAAAGTCAGTTGAAGAAGAAGTCAAGATCAGTTCATTACATATCCGATTATCCTTCTGATGATCTCACGCTACAGCAAAAGCAATAGAGAGCAATAACCTTAAATGCTCATATAGGACGTGGAGGAAAATATTGTTTATTAAGGTTGTTCATATTTGGGTTCCTCAGGAAACTGAATAATACTGAAATTTGAATGCACTGGAGCATGAACGCAAATGCAAACTGCATACTAAAAATTTCAGCTTGAACTAGCTAGAGCACTCAGAGCAGCCATTGGGATTTTTCTGCATGTGGATTTTTCAATCAGGCTTTATTATTTTAGACTGCTCGATTTTTTGAAGGACAGAAATAATATATTATTTGTTATCTGTGTCAACAGTATCAGTAACAATTAAAAGGACTGTTTCCTTGAACTTAGAGAGCGTTTTAAGTTAGATATATTTTTTGTCTTCTTTTGCTTTTGAAATCTCCTCCTTCCCAGATGCGAACATCTTCCTCATTCTCATGCTCTTCTCTTAATTTTACAGATTTAAGTGTGAAAAAGACAGTCTATAGTCTACAATGGGGGATGGGAAATATTATTGATCAAAATTGGTGAATAAAATATTAAATAATATACTCTATGATGGGTGAGGCTTTAAAAACTGGTGAAGAATATGACACAAATCACAAAAGTCTGGACACCAGGAAGCCAGTGCATTGTCCAGTTTTGTCACCTTGTTCAGACGACACTTTCTGGGCCTCAGTTTTATCATTTAAGGGTGGTTGTGAGTAACTAGATGAGATTATATCTTGAAAAAATACAGAACCATATACAAAAGGCTGATGCTGACTCTGTATTCTAATTTATTACTCATTAGTTAGCATGCAAAACAGTTTCTTATGAAGAACATTAGATGCAGAATCTGAATGGAAACTTCTCTGGCTCTTATTTTCTTTATCTAAATAAGGGATAACGTCACGTATGATTTTTTTAGTACAATGTTACTGGTAGAGGCCAGTTATTTGCAGCAAGCAGCAGGTTTGCAGGGATTTTTCTGGGAATTTCAGATTCAGTATCTGTATTAGTTAAGATTAGGTTTTGCAGCAAATAACAGAAAACCCTCTCAAATGATAAAGAACATGGAGGTTTATTTTTGTCTCATAGGAATGTCTAGGAAGTGGTTCATGACAGGCATGATACTCCATGTTGTCAGGCACTCGGACTCCATTCATCTCGATGTTCTTTCCTGAAGGCTTCAACCTCACAGTCTCAACATGGCAGCATCACATTCCAGAGGAGCAGAACAGGGAAAGGGTCAGAAGACAGGGGAACATACCTCGCTCTCTCCTGCTATTTGCTGTGCCTTGGCTGCAAGCTAGACATGCTGTGTCCATTGCAAATGGCCACAAATCTAAGGCCCTACCACTATTGGAACAGCCACTGGGAGATAACTAGCAGCTTTTACCATTTGTCATTTAATTACTTTAAGGTTAGAAACTATTTATTTATGAATGTCTGAAAGAGAACGGCCTGAGAAATATGTTGGAAAAGTTAAAGCTGCTTTGTGACTGGTTATCACTGTGTTTTTAATTTTGAAAAAGTAAGTGCCAAGACTTCCAGTTTCCAATTTCACACGTAAGGAGCTGAGAAGCTGCCACTCTGTTCTAACAAGTAAGAGCTGAGCAAACTGAAAAATCAACTCTTCTTGGGTCCATAAAAGAAGTGAGGTCACAGGGCAAACTACTGCCCTCAAAATTAGCAAGATGGACAGGCAGATACAGAGACTCACAATATACTGGAGGAGAAATCTCCATGGGAGCCACTGCTGGGGTGGGAAAACAAAAACAGTAATGGATGAATTGCTGGAGGCCATGTGTAGACAGGTCTGAGAGATTAAAAACTCTGGAAGACCTAGTCATAAGGGGACCGACCGCCATGCTTTTCTAAGTTTCACCATCAGCAGCATGACCAGATTATCAAACCAACTACTGAAGAAAATTATACTGTGCTTCTGGCAGTAGGAGGGGAAAAAAAATCATTTTGATATATGCCAGAGCGCTCTGTTCTTAACAAGATCTGTTCTTAAAAAAACTGCTTAACGAGAGCCTAACCTGCTGGGGTTTTATCAGAGCCTAACTAACCTAAGGGAAGGACTCAGAAACAATTGTGATGTTCAGCGTGTAGAGGAATAGGCTCGCTAAACGATGGAGATCTAATCATAGGACTATAGAAGGTTTCCCTCTCCCAGTACCTTATCACCATATTAGTAAAGGCCTATTTACAGCAGTTCCTTTTACCCAGTATACCATGTTCAGCTATCAAGAAAAAAATTACAAGGCATACTGTTTCAGTCCATTCTGTATTGCTATAACAAAATACCTGAGACTAGATAATTTACAATGAATAGGTATTTATTCAGCTCATGGTTTTAGGGGCTGGAAGTCCAAGATTAATGGGCCAAATATGACAAAGGCCTTCTTGCTGTATCCGCCAATGGAAGAATGGCAGAAATGCAAAAGAGCATACAGGAGTGGGAAGGGGGCCCACCTCATCCTTTTATCAGAAACCCACCCCTGCGAAAACAGCATGAATTCACTCATGAGGGCAGAGCCCTCATAACCTAATCACTTCATAAAGATTCCATCTCTCAACACTGCTGCAGTGGGGATTATTTTTGTTTTAAAGCACCTGTGACTGGGTGCTTTAAAAGGAAAAGAGGTTGATTTAGCTCATGGTTCTGTAGGCTGAGAAGTTTAAGGGCTTGGCCCTGGCTCTGGTGAGGGCTTTCATGCTGCATCACAACATGGCAGAGAAGGCCAAAGGAGAAATGAACATGTACAAAAAGAAGAAACCTGAGGGGCATCCTGGCTTTATAATGACCCACTCTCTTGGGAACTAAATCCATTCCCATGAGAACTCACGACCATGAGAACAGCATCATGTCATTTCTCAGGAATCCATCTCCATAACCCAACTACCTCCCACTAAGCCCTACTTCCCAAGATTATTACACTTGGGGTCAAATTTCAACATAAGCTTTGGTGGGGACTAACAAAGCAGATCTAAGTTACAGCAAGGATCAAGTTTCCAACACACGAACCTTGGGGAACACATTCAAAGCATAGCATATACTAAAAGGCTAAAGCAAAGTCTGAAGAGACAGCAAGCATCAGAACTTGGAAGTTGCCACTCTGTTCTAACAAGTAAAAGCCAGACATGTCGGCGATGTTAGAATTATCAGACAAATAATTTAAAACAACTGTGATTCAGACCAGGGCCTGTTGGGAGGTTTGGGGGTTAGGAGAGGGATAGCATTAGGAGAAATACCTAATGTAGATGACTGGTTGATGAGCACAGCAAACCACCACTGTGTATACCTGTACGTTCTGCACATGTATCCCAGAACTTAAAGTATAATGAAAAAAGAAAAAAATCCTGCAACTAAGATGCTAAGGGCTCTAAAGGATAAATTACACATGCAAGAGCAGATGGGCAATGTAAGCAGAGAGATGGAAATTCAAAGAAATAGCCAAAAAGAAATGCTAGGATAAAAAATACTTTAAGAGAAATTAAGAATACCTTTGATAAGTTTATTAGTAGATTGGACATGGTTGAGGCAAGAATCTCTGAACTTGAGGATATATCAAGAGAAATAGCCAAAACTATAAAGAAAGAACAGACTGAAAAAAAAATTAAAGCAAGATGTAGTATCTAAGAGCTGTGGAACAATTAAAAAGAGAGAAGATATGTATAATAACAATACAAGAGGAAGAAAGAAGAGACAGAACTGCTACATACTGAATGTTAATATCTCCCCAAATTCATATGTCGAAAGCTAATTGCCAGTGTGATGGTATATGGAGGTAGAGCTTTGAGGAGGTGATTAGGTCATAAGGATAAAGGCCTCATTAATAGCAT